GTAGCATATTATCCACGATTTCTGTGTATTCGTACCTATACGAGTACGATCGTGAACTTTAAGGTATTATTAAAGTGGTGTAAAATGAATGGCTGATCATCATTTAAGTCAGCAACATCATTTGAATTCTACAAAGCCTAGTCTCACCACCTTACAGAAATAAATAAAACAGACTTTACATATTTTTTTAATTATGCCAGGAACCAATATAGTAACTTTAACATGTTCAAACGGAAATTTATTTCCCAGCGACCCTGTATTTTGAAAAGTTTAACTACATCCATTTTTCATGGAACCATAATATGTAATATAATAATCATTCATAAACCTAACACATTCAAGCAAGGCAGAATAACAGAATAGAATTTCAACCTGTTATATTATTCGGAATGTATCTAACCAATTTTATAATTAGGGTGTTCATTGTATTCTTCCATCCACTTTTCGAACAAATTGACCGTGAAATAGACGTCAAAGACCACGCGCCTCAGAGACGAATTTGAATTTCTATTTCACTATCACAAACCTAGTGGACAATTTTGGAAGTTCTAGCGTTTGAGAACCTTCAAATGACAGTATAAACGGAACATTACTTTCAAAACAATAGCGAAAAATAACATTCAGTTGGTTATTACAAGGGTTACAGAATAGTCATTATCGGATTACTAATGTCTGAGACGAGTCGTCTGTAGTTAAAGGTTAATTGAAAAATTAAGATCATTACCAGAATTCCATCGGTTAACGCTCTCAGTAACCTTTATGACCCCTCGAGATTGCTCCGACGCTCATGTTCATACTAGGGATATTCGATTCCGATTAGATTTCTCGAAAGATCGATTCTTCTGGTTAAATGTTAAAAGATCGAATCAATTCTCTGCGGCTCGATTCTTTACTCTAAAAATCGAGAACCGATTTTTCTTTCTTCAATTTTTTGTTCAAATTTTACGACTTGACTATTTAATTACATATGTAGATATGTGTGTATCATTCTCCTTATGTCAAACACACGAATTTGCAAATTTCTAGTTTGCGGTTAAGAATTGGTATAAATATCTTTCTGTAATTTTAACTATGTATATGCCAAAACGATTGGATCTGTATGTAGCAATGCAATAATGATAACATTCTTAGCTCGCGTAGAGTGATACAGTTTAATATCCATAGAATTTACAAGAATAGAGTTTAAAATTTGTAAAATTACACATACATGACTTTGGCATAAGCAGGTGACATATGTATATATATATGTATGTGCCGATGACTATAAAAGTAGTGCAAGTCAAAAAATCCCCAAAAATGGATTTTTTCTTATTTTATATTACACTGATTTGTATTTCAATATTCTAAAGAATATTCGAAACAAAGAATAAACGACACACCACTTTACATACCTTCAAAAAACGAAATTAAAGACTCAATCTAAAAATCCTAAAAAATTATCTGTGTATATATGTACAACTATATCAAATTGTATAATAATTATATTAATTTTGTACGGCTTTTAGATCGATTCTTGCAAAATCGACTCTTTGATTTCGATTTTCTAAGATAATCGATTCTCATGATTCGATGCAGAACCGATTCCCGAATCGATTATTTAAAAAGGATCGAACATCCCTAAGTCACACTACAGACCCACTTATAATCTTACCTAACACAAGAACACCCGACGATCACTGAACATCCTTCATTACGTTTTAACAGTGTCCCCGGAGACGACTCGTGATTCGACGCACGCGTATCCTATAGGGGCGCAGGGAAGCTCAACTGACAGAAGGAAACAGGCGTCTCTTGGTCGGCTCAAATGTCCCCCGTCTGCACTTCCGCGTAGGAACCGAATTATTACAAACTTGAAACGAGTCTCCACGTAGGGTTTCGCCGTCGAAGCAGCAGTCGGCAGCTGTGTGGTCGGCCGTCGTCGCGGCCAAGAATGCCGCTCATTGAAAACTGAATGCAGCGGGGTCTAGTACGGCTGCTTAACTGTAACCCGTGCCTGTTTCCTTTCTAAAAAAAAAAAAAATGGGCCACGGATCTTCCTGCCTCTCCTTCCTTCGGACCACGTGACCCCCCCACCCCTCCCACCAAAAGTACACGGCGGTTGACCGACTTAAAATTCCATCTCGATGACACACTCGATTTCGATCAGGGAGGAGAAGGGATGACAGAATTTCGAGGCTGTTTCGGGAGCCATCCGGCGGGGTTTATCCCGTGATGAATGGCTTGAAACAGGTGAAAATTGCCGATAGTCCGTCTGATTTGCACGCTCGATTAGGCACGCGTAATTGATTGCATTATGGGGGCATTTTAGACGGCAGTTCGCGGTTTATCGATTTACCGCCAGAGATCGCGGGCGTAACTTTATGCGAACGGTACCGAAATAATGCAGAATTACATACTGCATGTTGCAATCACGATCGGTTGGTAAATCGGCTGCGGAGTAAAAAATTGGGTCGGGATTTGGAGAGTTAATGGTACGGAGTGTATAGATTGCCGGTAGAGAATTTTTGAAGGATATATTACAGTGAGGGACAAAAGTATTCCTACATTTCGGACAATTGTACATATGTACGTAGATATTAGTGGTGTAACTAAGCTTTGTTTTCGGTGTATTTGTATCTACGCGTGTACTGCACGAATATTGAAGTGTAATTAATTATATAGAATACAGTTCATTTTATCTCATTCTTACTGTAGAGGCGCTCATATCCCTCAGTTTATATCACATTAACCTGTTAACCGAGCAGGACACGTTAGCTGGTCATTTGTATTCGATTTCACCTTTTATGGGTGTGTAATGAAGCTTTAAGTGTATCATAATATTTGTGTTAATATGAGCTACATTACATTCACGTTTGTTGTGGAATAAGCTGCGTCAGATTGTCTTCGATTATGTCTACAGCAGAGTTGGGCAAAATGTAATATAATTACAAAATTTAAGTTGCAATTACAATGTAATTGTGATTTTGTAATTAAATTACATTTTGCCCAACTCTGGTCTACAATAAATCCTCGATGAGTGGTCACAGGCTCCTCGGCACCGACAATGAGAGGTGCTCAGATGTAATGCTGACTTTTTAATGAGGTTTGGCAGAGTGATAGAGCTTGGAATTCTGAAGCCAATGGTATTTGTTTCAGCCACATATAGTCAGTAATTTATTAAATATTCAATGTTCAGTGCCGAGGAGCCTTCAAACGCTCATCGAGGATTTACTATATATAAGTGTGTGTGATATCATTCGGTTAATAGAGGAACGTTGCTAAGAAGACTACGAAGCATTTTGCAATTTTTCGTTAACGTAAACCATTATCCAACTATATTCTCAGTTTTAACGCCGTCAAAAGTGTATTTGAATTAATTTCAACTCCGAATCAGCATTTCGTCAATAAGGTCAAAAAAATGTACTCTTGTCAAGACAACAGGAACTTAGAACACCTGTAAATCTCTTAGTCCTGAAGCAAGAATTTTTGTTAACTATAGCGAATCGTGCTATGTTAATACAATAATTTTAAACCGAGATTTATTCTCTGCTTCGTACCACCTAATACGATGACAATTGAAGTAATTTTTTAATCGAACTTAAGATAAAAATATTTACTGGGACACCCTAACACGGTGCGCACCGTCATCGTTAGAAAACGTAACAGCTGCCTAGCTTTTGTTACATACGGCGTCGAAACACCTGTCAAGTCGCTTTAGAAATGAGACTAACCATCCGAAAGGCAACGACGACCCACATACCATATACGTAATTAAGTTTGAACAGCATCGAACGCAGCCAAGGAACGCAAAGTACGTGTATACATATATGTATACACGTGATAATACGCTGGGTGCGATAATTACGTTCTGCGACTGGAATTTAATGAAATATTCAAACGCGACCAATTCACCGGAAACACCGTGGAACACACTGTCTCGGGCTCGATCACGAGCTGCATACTGTTTACCAGGTGTAAAAAAAATTACTGCAGCACGTACCTAGACACTTCGAAAAATTTACGATACCGGTTCCCCCATCACGAACGCGTACAGCCACGCTTAGCCAGCCAGCCAGTCACGCGTTTGTATTTGGATTATGTTTGTCCACAAGCCGAAGCTCGCCGGGCGCTATTAACCACCGTTTCGTCTGAAACTTCCTCTTGCCAACGTTTGTATAGCATTATAATGTATATTGCACAGTCAGGCCTACCGAATGTGTCCTGAACAAAAATCTTTTTCCTCGAATTCGTTAGATACGCCGAGGATATTTCAGAAAGAAAAAGATGTGTAGTTCCTCTATAATTCGATTCAGACGAGAAAATGGATTTTCAATAGAAAGAAAAAGAGCAAATTTGGAGTGTTCAATCGGAAACTTTGTTATAACGAATCGAATACAGTAAGAGTTTCGGTCCACCAAAGTGTGGAAATTTTAACTTTCTATGGAGAATCGACGGGTAAGCATTTAATACATATATTCCCAAATAGAAAAAATCATGCATGTGAACTGATTTGAATAGCGGTCCCGACCAGTTTTCGAGATCACCGCGTAACACACACACACACACACACACACGCACGTGTGTGTACGGATCCGCGTTATTTTTCATTTTGACACTCTACTCCCAAGCAATTAGAGATCGAGCTCTTCAGATAAACGTCCATCGGGGGACCGTGACATCTTTTCTAAGACACTTTCACAGATAATTTACGGTGGCTCGTTATGAGATACGTCGACAGTCGGAGAAGATTAGAGACTCCGGTCGACGTCTCCGATCATTATCGTCCGAAAGCTACGCGTGGCCCCACGGTAATTTGCATCGTTCGGGCATCAATATTGACAGGACCGACAGGTGTGTTACACGCGGCCGAAATAGAATCCCAAGGCGCCACGCGATCGAAGAAACGGAACCGATCACCGATCGGGAACCGCGTAAATAAAATATGTATACACCCGGTTCGACAGGATTCTTCTGCGTCGCTCATCCGTTTCACGTTCCGTCGTGCACACGCGCTCACCTACCTCCATTTTCATCGTTGCCGCCCGAGATTTCACGGAGACCACCAACTGAACTGTTTTCACCGTGTAACGGCCACTGATACGGATCGTCAAACACGTACAAACCGGGCACAATTTCGATCGTCTTATCTGATCGTGAACGTAGACCGGCTAACGTACGCGTATCTATTATCATGCCCGCGCGTCGTACAGGTTACGTCACTCGCTGTGATCGTTCCGCGGCGTGTATGTATGTCTCTTGGTCCCGTGAGGCAAGGTGTACGACCGGAGTTCCCCTTCGGAACAGGTCCCCGAAATACAACTGGTCGTAATCACCGCCGGAGATGATGCTTCCTCTCTCGTCTCCTTACGAAACGACGACGAGAACGTGTATGTATTCAAACCGATTCCGGCGCAGCAGTCTCGACCGTGTCCCATTCGAGTGATTTCAACGCCGGTTCGCCGCGCGTGGATTTGTGCACACACACGAGAGAACCACCCTGAATCGACGTTTACTGCGACCAGACGCGCCCGCTTGGAGTACGACACACGACTAAACCTGACTAAACCAGATTGGCGGCTGTGGCTCATGGACGAAAAGGTAGGCCGGGTGTTACACACGCGATACCACCGAGACGTAGGTATACCGACCGGGTGGATTCTTTCGAAACTCTCTTATACGCACTGAGTCCCCATCGTAAGGCCGACGGACATAGGCCGTTTGCCTATCTACTCGTGCGCTCTCCGTTCGTTCTTATAATTTTACGCGAGACCCCGGGGGAGAGGTTATAATCGAGACGCGGCCAGAGCCCGTTCAGCCGTTCGACGACTGCCATTTTACCTTGCGTGACCTTGTTGTTACCCGGCCGTTCTCCGAACAAAAGCAACAGAACACCGACGACGACGACGACGACGACGACGACACAGCGCGATGCATCCCGACAAAGCTTCGTTCCGATCGTTATCGGCTGTATAAGTACGGAACCGGGTCAGTTTGGACCCGAGTGTTAAAAACCATATCTAACTCATCGATTTGTAAATATAATTTAAGGTAGACGTTGTTCATATTTAGTCATTACATGCATATTATGTCATACATAGTATAAACAAAAGAGGTGTTTTTTATTTAATGATCTCGTTCGAAAGTACGTTTAAATAGAAGGAAACATGGGGTTTCAAACGGACCAACGACACCACTGTCTCTACGAACATTAAAAACGTCCGTACTCCGAGGATTAACCCCTTGGCTTATAACATCGAGTCAGACTCGTGATGACGATATCAAAATGGATTCAACAAACAGAAATATTATTCGTTGTCTTTGAGTCAAAGTGAAATACTAGTTTGCTGATATTAATATTTAACTTTTAGAGTAAATGTACAATTGCAATAAGTACACGAATTTCTTTTGTTTCCGGGGAATTATTGATGATAAGGTAATTCTGCAGACTGCAGACATCAAGAAAATCATACGGCAAGGGGTTAAGGTGATCCTTCTGTGAATGCTTTCTGAGTTTCTCAGAGGTATGTACTTGTGGCGCGAGTACTCGAGAGAATCTATAGTCTTTTGATAAAGTTTTTATAATTTGCGTATACGTATCGTTTACTTTTCTTCCTTAAATCTGTAGCGTACACTAAACATATATGTAGATCTGATGGTGTATGTTGTCTTCGATCTAATATAATTTTTACATGTAGAGGGAACTTTTGAGTAACCTACTTAGTCGAATACTTTGGTTGCTCACTACATATCAATATTTGAAATGTAGTGTGTGGTGGATGTACCAGTAAAGATAACTCATAGTATACGGGTGTGTACGTGCATTAGAAAAGACAGAATAAGTTTATATATAAAGAAAAGCAAGTTATTAATTTTGATTGATATTGCCCTATTTTGTTACGCTGTGCATTGGTAAATAATGTTTATTTACTAATTGTATTTTTTCTGTTTGATTTAATTAATCACATTTTTCCAATTTTTCAAATTGAAATATATACGTTATAGAATGGTATAGATATTCAAAAATTTATTTTCATATACCAAATATTTATTAATACTATTCTCGTTTAAAACTCGACTTTAATTGTTACAAAATCACTCTAAGTGTTCGTTAATACGTTTACCTTATACACATATCGTACATGATATTTGAGTATTTATCAGTGTGTTTTCATTGAAATATAATTGGATGCTGTTTCGTGCGATAGCTACATTTGTAATCTATTTTCCTATAAGAAAGATAAAGTATTCAAAGAACCTAATGTCTATGGATCATGATGGGTATATTGAAATTTTTTAACCATACGTGATTTTTGTAGACTATTTTGCATTTTGTATGCGATCAGCAATATAATAAAACACTTTTTTTTCTATTGTATAATTCTGAATTATAGTTCTGCTATCTCTCCGAAGATTACTACTTTAAAACATTTTTATCGTTCTATTACTAGATAAGAGAAGTAGACCTAATATTTCCTTATCATAATTATATTAGCATTATATTCATTATTATATTAAACTTTAATTAATAATCCTCATTTTTTCTGAGATCTATGCCCTCGCACTTCCTGATCTGATCAATGGAGCATTTTTGCAATCCAGGACGAGATAATACGAAATTCATTTTTATATTTTATAGGCGTTTCCAATATTTAATAGTTTTCAAAATTTAATTATACGAAACGAAAAGTTACATTGTACACCAATTGAATGTCATTTACACGCCTCTCCGCTTGTATCATTTATTACTAAATCTTATGCAATCATTCCCGGAACAATGACAATGCAAACGATCGTAATTAATAATGATCTTTCCTGTCTAAACTGGCCTCTGTTCGATCTTACGACGAGAATTGTATGGTTATTAATTAACAACTGTGTTTATTTAGCATTGAATGGCTCGAACTTATTATTATTTCGTATCTGTTTGCAATCATTACTTGTTTTGATCAATTTTCTTTGCAAGAACGACGATAGAATGTACCTTGTCTTGCACAATTTATTTAAAAGATAAATATTATCAGGATTCAAATTCGTTGATGTTTATTATTTATAAAATTGCGACATACATAAATGTGTACACACATATATACATAGTGGGCAGTAGTGGCACAGACGAGATATAAGAATACAGTAAATCCTCGTTGAGTGTTCGAAGGCTCCTCGGCACTAACAAGAAGAGGTCCCCAGGTAAGTATAACGCTGACTGTTTAATGAAGTTTAGCACATTGCTAGATTTTGGAATTCTGAAACCAATGACATTTGTTCCAGCCGCATATGACCATTAGTTTATGAAATATTTAATATTCAGTTCCGAGGAGCCTTCGAACACTTATCGAGGATTTATTGTAGACCTAACATCTTATGGGACTTGGTGTCCCACGAAAATCACGCTGGTTCGAGCGCACCTCCACATAAAAGCACAGACGAGGTATAGGAGTCGACATTTCATCCAATGTATTTTTGCGGCCCACTTTTCTGGGGTTATATACCCCATTTCCATTTTACAGTAGACATTCGTTTCCTGCGCTACCGTTATCTGCGCGGAAGCCACGCCCCTTGCCCACACGTATTTCTCACACACGTGCGCGTACCCTACTCTGTCGCCCAGTACTTCCAGGCCGGAACACTACGGTGTCGCGTTTAATACGCATATCTCATCACAGAAAGCGAAATGTATATAATACTGTTTTAATAATGTTTTTATTGGTACAATGAATATTGGTGGCAATTTGATTGCTTCTTGTCTCGCGGATCACACGTAATGGGTAAAAGATGCTAGCCAAGCTAAACATTTGCCACTAAAATATGTCACGAATTATTACCTTTATCACATAATATCTTAATACTTTGTTACGCAGAATGTTTGGAAGAATCGATTTATGTAATAAAAGTATTTTATTCTATAATATTTCAATATCATTAATAAAAATAACATAATTAACTTTGAAAACTTAGAAGATACTCCACCTACGAAAAACTTGTTACTGCTAAATAATAGCCCTCTTCATACTGAACAACTTCTGTGAATAAACTTTTTTAATATTTCTAAAAATAACAGAGATAATTAATTAATTAATATAACCGTAAAGTGCGCATATCCAGCCCACCCTATATGTGGCTGCGTCGCACGACTGAACCGCCGAGTGGTGGGGAAAGCGCTCGGGTAACTGGTCACCGATTCCTGCACGGTTCCTAGAATTCTGACCCTCTACACTCTACAGCCCCGACTAGTGCAGGAAACGACTGTCTACTATACACTGAATTCATGCTTTATCGGTAACGTCGGATATTGATACTAAAATGGTAAAGAGGCTACGTAGCCCCGAATCGTGAGACCGAAAAAAGTATTGGATGTTGAAATATTGTACTTAATATGTACTACACGAACGTTTTGAATTCGACTTTGTCACACAATTAAATATGCAACCCACGGAAGAACGATTTTGCGGCAACATTGAAACAAAATTTTAAAATATCCTGTTGTTCTCGTCCATGTTGATAATCGTAATTCAAGTATTCATACTGAAACATAAGCGATTCCAGTTTTTTAAAACATTATTGCGTGTTTTGTAATCGAATAAGTATTAATATTACTTCATAATTACAAAAAATTGTTCATTCGTTGAAAGAAATCATTTCAATTTCATATGTCATATATGATTACATAGAAGTTAGGAAAATCGCCATTGCACTGTATCACGCGCGCCATCTGTTTCCTGTAAAATATTAAAGCACACTTTAAAAATGCGAAGTTTCTGAGTAAGTAATTCTTGTAAAATCTTAAAGACATTCGTGGTCGATTATCTTTAATATTTTATTTATCTAACGTAGCCGAAACGGTTTTAAAATGAGATTCTAACGTTCGCTCTATATTTATCATTTGTTTTTTTTGTATAAATGGTCAATAAAGTTTGCGGAAACATCATTGTCATTGGTTGTCTCTGATTAAAATTACTTTTGATGGTAATTAACCAATAATATAGTATTGAGAATTGGAATAAATTTATTGTAACATACACTAGTTTGATCTATATGCTATTGTTACTATTGTAAGCCAAATACACAAGTTCAAAATTACTAGTATGTGTACGTGTTCTATAATAATGCGTAATTTTCATTTGCGTAACGACTATTTAAAATTATAAACCCAAACGTTTATAATAATTAATTTCGTTTAACTTTGACTACACATGAATACTTCTAAAGATATATATTTGTAGTTTTATTATCCAATTATTAAGTGTTAACAATATTTCTTATTTATGAACGGCGTGTTTACATATTAATTTCAATTTCTCATCACGTTCGGCAATGCTGAAAAGAGTTTTGCACAAACAACAATGAATAAGGAACAGTTTTCTCCAATCAGCAGTAAGTAACCAGGATCTTTACTTTTTATGTTTATTAATTATTTTATAACATGAAAAGTATGCAGTTAAATAAACAAGTTATTCTTAGTTAAGCTCTGTGTAGTATAGAAATACATATAATGTTAAAGTAAGTGAACACCATTTAAATATCTTTTTGTATTTGTGTTATAGAACTTCAATCTCCAAAAGCAACTCAGGGAAAAAACTTGGTAGGTCCAGCTAGACATGTACGAGATTTAACTGCAGATATTCATGCATGTATACAGCAGTGGAATGCAGTTCACTTACAGGGAGTAGTGTTATTAAAAGATATAACACAAGAGAAACAAGATGAATGTTATTCATCAGTTCTACAGGAATTGTGTGATAAGCTGGAACATGTGTGTGATGCACAGGTATTTAATTGCTTTGGATATATAGTCTTATATTTGCGATAAATAATATAGTAACAACATTGTTTTTCAGGATGCTATTGTTAAAAATCTTGCTCAAATTGCACATCAGATAAAAATAGTAACATCTTTAGAAAAAAATGTGAACAAATTATTCACAACATGGCCTGCAGTTAAATATGGTAAGTACATACAATTCATTTTCATACATGAAAAGCATTATATATTAGTACAAAGTCAAGTAAGTTATGTCTTCTAAAGAGGCTAATTATAATTTATTTCAATTCTTTTCACCAGGTCAAATAGCAGAGTTAATATATAATGTATACCTTCAAGAGGCTGAAGTAAAACGCACAATTTTTGAAGATGTAGCGCATGAATATACAGAGTCTTGGAAAATGTTATGTCTTGCTACCTGGGTTCATCAGCCATTGTTACTGGAAAGTCTAACAACATATTTGGAATCATTATTGATAGAAACAGGGCATAGATAGTTGTAGTTATTGTTGGTACATACTGTGGTAAGTATTCTTACATTTTTAAAATCGATTCGATGTTTATAATTATCCTTCTGTATGCAATAACTTACAACTATTGAAATAAAACAAAAATTGATAGAATGTTCATTTATTTCTGGTTTTTCAAATACCATCTATACGATTTCACAAAAAAAAAGAAAAAGAAAGTATGAAATTGTTATATATGTATATATATGTATGTATATACTCAGAATCCAAAGCGCACTATGAAACTGTTTACAATTGGTACCTGAGATCACAAAGAAATATGAATATAGACAATTACAAATGTACTATATTTTCTTTGCAAATGCAGATTCTAAAAAAATGTATCTTAGATACAAGGAACCGAACCTGCAAAATTAATATATATTGTGATTAGTTGTAGTTAATCTAATAGTTATTAGTGTCATTATCGTTTAATTATATCCGTAACTTCTTATACACGTATAATACATATTTACAGATAAATACAAAATTCATTATTTCCACTGTACATAAATGCTATAACAATGTGGATGGAATTATCTTCTTGATGTTTAAAGTATTCTCGATGCTATAGTGTTTTTATATAAAAGCTGTAAATAATCCACTCCAATTCATAAATAGCTGCTTTTAATTACCGAAGTTATTGAATTCTCCATTTTCTCAATATTTGTTTGATACAATATAATTACATTTTTTTTATATAATTCATCGATTTGTAAAAAATCACTGTAATCAACATGAATGGTCCTGTTGCGAACAAAATTTATTGCAATTTTAAGTATAGAAAGTTAAAAGTGAATCTAAAAGTAATTTGTGCATGACAATCATCTTTGTAGCACTGTAACTAAAGTCACGATAATATATTTCTGACTGACAGTATGACTAACATCTACGCAAAGTTACAATTACAAAAACCCTTTATATTTATGTACTATATTTAATTTATAATTCTAGCAAGTTTAACTTCTCTCATTTCCTGGTTCATTTGTGTACGACTATGAGTTCTTTTCTTAAGAGACTGCTTCAAAACTGAAACTATTAGTCACACTATGTGAATGATACAAAGACTGTTTACCAAAACCAAAAAAATAGTTGTGTCCAGGTAAAAATTTCTGTTATAACAATCTTTTTTATGTTGAAACTTACTCAACTAAGTAAAGCTTTTTTTGTATAGATAACGTCAATACATCTTTCTTTAAATTTACTGTAATCTTTTTTTCATAAGCAATATATACTTTACATAATAAATATAACAGAAAACAGTCTTATTTACATACACATGCCAGTAATATAAGACATTATATTATTCTAGTACTGATATTGTTCATTCAAATATGGAAGTTGTAATATATATTGTGATACTATCAAAAAGTCTATAAGAAAATATCTACACCAATGTGTAATTATATGCATACATATACAATTTCAAATAATTGTATAATAGTTTTGTATTTTTATACACTATACACATTACTTCAATTGGTTTAGGAACATGTTGCACACAATAATCCAAGAATCAACTTCTAGTATTCCGATTAAACTCTTCGCTTAATGCATCGAAATCGAGTTCTGTATCTAAATTCGAATTATTTGGTATTAAATTATTTTCCAATATATTATCTGGCATAATATTCTTTAATCTTTCAGACACTAGTTCGTCAACTAAATTTGATTGGTCTACTAAATGCAATTGTTCAACTAACTTCTCGTCAATTAACAAATTTTTATCTATTACTCCGCTTGTATTTAAAATATCTAAGTGTGCAATGTGATCGTATTGTGCTATTTTAGACATATCTAAATTCTCTGCGCTGCCAAATAGACTAGTATCACAATTACTGGAAATTATTGGTACCGTATCTTGTATAATTGGTATACTGTCTGAAATCTTACAACCGGAAGTAGCTGGTATCATTTTACAAGAACTTGTAACTAATGGCACCGATTGGTTTTTAACACAATTCATATCTGACGATGATATAGGAATTATTTTAGACACCAGTTTCTGGAAGCCTTTAGCGAAGTTTTGAGATCCATTTTCCATGTTATTCAGCCCGTTTTGTATTTTCTCAAAATTCTCAGTCTCCTGTTTCGAATAACTTCCCAAAGGACTGCTTTCTAGTTTAACAAAACCTTGTTCCGTTGATTCGAGTTTTATGAATGCTTCTTCTATATGCTCTAACTTAGGCCGTTCAAAATTATCTTCGACCTTACAGAAATTCGACGATTCCAGACCATTTGCCAGTTTTGTGAATCTTTCTTTGTGAGATTCCGTTTTTTGATAGATAGAAGCTTTTGGTGATGTGATAACCACTTTTTGGAATCCAGGAGTATCTGAAATTTGATTTTGAATCTCTGGATTCGAAATTAATAATTTCGAGACATTATTGGATTTATTATTCTCCGTGCTATTTACGGGACTGGGATTCCTTCTCATCAGCGTTAAAGCTGACAACACTTCAGGGCAAGTAGGGTTCGCTATAGATTCGTTTCTTCTATCATTTAAGAACTCAGAGACACTGAGATCTGAACTTTCGGAAAATCCACTGGACATTTGCTCCTCTATGTTATCTTTAGTATCTTCAGAATTGTGTGTTTTCTGGAGTTTAAGCGGCGGTTCTCCGTTATCATAAGCGTTACAGATAGGAGTATCAATCTTCTTCAAGGCATCGTTATCAATCCTGTACAGACCAGGATTAAGACCTAAAGCATCGCAAAGTGATTCTTCGCTGATATCAATTAAATCCTTTGATTCTTCGCCACTATTTGCAATCGCGAACATTGTTCCAGCCTTTTCTCGTATTTTACCCATTAATATTTTTAATTCGTCCAAGAAATTCTTTACATTATTCTCGGATTTTAATACTAATAAGTCAAACAATGATTGTGCGTTAAGTACTGGCTTTGCAGCTATTTTTATTATTTCAGAATCTTCGCACACAGAAATTGCCTCCCTCAATTTTATTTGACGTCTCTCTGATTTAGCTTCTGGTGTGACATAAGCCCAAGGACCTCGTTTTTTCCCTTTACGTTTCAAGGGATCCTGACCCCCATTTTGCTTCAATTCAGGTTCAGGAGTCGGAGGAGGTAATTGCTCGGGACTACCATGATCAGGATGCATTTCAAAGTGCCTTGCCATTCGAGTGCGTCCTAAATATATTTTGTTACACGTAGGGCACCTGAAGTGATCTGATATTTTTCTTTTCGGTACTTCTAACCCTGTCAATAATTCCTTCGGTGATTCTTCTTCCTCGAGCTTGTCATTATTTGTATTGTAATCGCTATAACCACCATCTGAATCATCCAAGTCAGGTTGCAAGAAATCTAAATGATGTAAATGTTTGTAATCTCGCACCATATGTCTAGGAGGTCGAGAAAGTCTACCAGATCGCGTTCTCGCTACTACTTTTTTTCTTTCATCCTGGAAGAAATATTCCGGTATTAAGATCGATAAAACGATTACAATTTCATGAAAACGCAAAACCAAATCTACCTTTAGTTCTTCCTGTTCTTCATCAGGAATCTGTGGCGGTTTAGGTGGCAGCAAAGAAGGTCTGATAGCATTCTTTTTTGGTCTGCCCCTTTTTCCACCGCGACTTTTTAGTAAATTTCCTGGACTCCTAATTCCCAAATCAAGTTCTTCGGGGAAGACAACCCTGAAAACATGCATGGATCGCCCAGGTGTATCATTCGGTAACAGGTGAAAAGCGTGTATAACATACCAACCTGTATACAACTCTCTCGTTCGAAGCGGTTGTTTCTTGACTTCGCTGTTGCAAAGCATGAGCGATCTGTTTTAACTGTGTAGGTGTCAGACGTTGCATACTAGAACACATACAAACATCATAAAATGGAGGAAATATTAAAATTATTGTACACAGGTATATATTCTACATACCTATGAAATGTTTGACCTTGTTGAACTATTTGTATTGGATTTTCGCTAGAACCCAATGGCTTAGTCGAATCTGTAGAGTCATTTATTACTGTTGTTGACTTAACAGGAGTCCCTTTACCTTTCTTGTTCACTTTCAAATTTGTGCCATTTGCTACAAGATTAAGTTTTTGTTTCACAGAATCATTCTGTATCGTTGTTTTAGCAGGGTCAAATGTACCACTGTGTTGTGTTACAGCTGTTTTTTGCAAATTGTTTTGCGAATTATTCGAGATGTTCGATACATTTTGAGCCGCGATAGTTAGGTTTTGTTTTGTTGAATTATTAAATGCAGTCTTTGCTTGGGGTTTCAAGATAGATATAGGCGTTGAAGAAATTTGAGTTGGTTTCAAGATAGACGTGGAACACGTTGTTGCTGCCTTTAAATCTTGGGTCTTAACAATAGACGCAGTTCGAAGAACTAGTGGTGTATTAGAGTTAATTGTAGTTTTTGGTACACCAGTTCCTACTGTAGTTTTCTTGCCAATCGTGGCTTTCGGTTTGAGTAACTGTGAAGAAATCTGCACTGACTTTAGAAGTTGTGCGGGAATTGCTGTTGCTACACTGGTATTGTTTATAATTTGATTAGATTTTGGAAGTACAGTGGATGCACCTTTCAGCACCGGTGTTAAAAACTGTTGAACGTTGCCTCTCTGAAGAGGCTGTGATGATTTTACTAGAGATGATAAACGTATTTGTGAAGTAACAAGGTTTTGTGTGGCGCCAGATGTAGTAGTTACTAGTGCATTAGAAACAAGGGGGGCAGTCACAGTATGATTCTGTATCTCGCAAGCACCAGTTATAATTTGTGAAGTGTTTAATAGCTGAGCAGGTATTCCAGCAGTATTTAATAACTGAGCCGTTATAGGAGTAGCTTTTATTATCTGCGATGATAAATTATTCAGTATTGTGGCTTTCGATAATAACAAAGAATTAGAATTTGAAGTAGCACTCAATGAATGTACTGCATTAATCTGATTCACTGTTGTATTAGCAAGTTTATTCGAACCTTGAAGCAATCTAATATTTTTAGTTGGCTTCAATATAGTTTGTGCAGGTTTTATAATAAATTGCGATGATGGCAAAATCACAGGTAGCTTCTGTAAGATCTGTGCCTGAGAAGTAGGAATCATATTGAGTTGATTTTGTGCTATACTACTGTCAATTGTATATTGCAGTTCGTTTTCATGAATATTCTTCACATGCGCAACATCTGTTTTCATTGCATGTACCTTAGGCTGTTCCAAAACTATTGTCTGTGTTCCTGAGTTCTGTTGAATTAGATTAGTTTGATGTTCAATTATTTGTTCAGTTTCATGATTCTGATTACTTAAATTCATTTCATCTAACGACAAACTATCTTCGACTACTTGGTCGTGAAGCTCTTCGTTCTCAGAAACTTTTTGCATATGCCACTCTTGGAAATCGATACATTCTGTTTTAATCAATGCATTATCGTTAGATTTTTGTACCTCGTCAGGCTGATAACTTAAGTCATTAATCGTTATAGAATCTTGAGAATGTAACGCTGTTTGGTCCTGTATGTCAATGTTATCGTTCGCGGAAACTTCCTGCGTATTGGAGCCAGCATTATCTCGATCCTGTTGATACATAACCTCTTCGCCCGAATTTACCTCAAAGGTTAGACCTAAGGCCACCGCTTGTTCCGGAGTCAAGTGAATAGTTTCCGAATCATTATCGTCGTTTTGTAAAAACGCAACGAATTCGTTGTTGTGGTCGTCATCGTCAACAACTTGCTGAAACGCTTGTTGAAGAAGATCCGAAGCACCACTGGCGGATGCATCGTTTGTAAACACTGTAGAATTGGAAATTTCTGCCATATCTTGACTTTATCTATTTCAACGTTTATGAAATGTAATTACACAATAACAGCGATCACTTTCATGTTTTACATCAACATTTTATACGATTACGTTCTTGCAAAATCACTTCACAGACCGCGTTTACTTTACTCCATTTCGCTGTACACGTTTTTCGCGCAAACAGAAACACACGAGGAACCTGAAGGCCATCACAGATGCAGTAAAGAAAATGGCGACAGTGCCATTATGATTTGGTCGTGCAGTTGGTACACTGCCGTCAAACAGATTACCATAACGTAAGTATCGTAGTTGATAAGAATGATACTCATTATAGGATTGCTGCGTTTTTAAAATTAATATTTAATTTTTTAAAATATAAAGACTGCTTTATCACAATCTAAGAACAAGAAAATGGTATTGGTTGGCTAGTAAATATCTTAAACATTATGCCGTAATGTAAACAGGCTCTTTACCTTAAATATCATCTAAATACGTTGAAACTAAATATTAATTAAAAATACATCAATTCAGTTGAACTCCATAAACACTCTAACATTATTAGAATAAAATTTTATGTACTTGTAATTTGTATGTTTTCTGTATTTTTTTGAAAATAGTTTATAAATCATTGAATATTACGATATAAGAGAGTGTTACAATTTAGCTAGTGACTCTCAAATTGCGTAGTGGGATTGACATCTATGTACTACTCCACTTTGATTGCAGTGTAGTTCACATTTATGTCTATTTTCATCGTATCTTTCAGTATTGTTCAGTATCTTTCATTCAATAACACAATTGGACGAAGTGGTCACATATGACAAAACTTTAAATCTCATTATATTATTTCATATATATAAATAGTTTCTGTCGTTTAAAGAAATATTTATATAAAAATCAGATTTGTTATATATCAAAGAAGAACAGACATTTAATTAAAAAGAAGAAATTGATAATTGTTATTATACATTTCGTTCACAATTGGCTGTTTGGAAATGTTGAATCATAGAAAGTGAATATTTATTTTTATGTGTTAGTTTAGTCCAGTTTAGTCGTATTTTAGTGTAATCGTCGTCCACATTGATATCGTATCAACATTAGTGCATCATTTATTACGGTCCACGTAATTAAAAACAAAGACATGTCTAATTAATATATTAATTGTTAATTGCTATTAAAGTATTCATTCTTAAATGTGCATTGTATTCTAATATTGTGAGAGTTTATGGATACAAAGTCTACCTTACGATAAAGACATTTTAAATAAATAAACGATCTTGAATAATACGAATATGGTAAGTGTATTGATGAGTCAAATCATTGTGTTGATAATAATTAATCATCTCATATGCTGGTGTAATATTTTAATAGAGTTCTGTTATTTTAACTACAAATTATTCATGTATTGGAAAACACATTTATTTAATAATTATCTGTATCCTTGTTTTCAGATATGTTTATATAAGGATACGAGATAATAATATTCAATCTGTATATCTTGATTATTTTTCATAATTTTTATTATTATAGGACGATGATGATCAGTATCAAGGTGGTTATGACGTAGGCTCATTTCCCAAGGATTTTGGATATGCACCATTTGATGGAGAAACAGAAGGATCCATGGATCCTTTGTCAGGGGAACAAAAACCTAGAATACTTTTAATGGGTCTAAGAAGGTATCCTATTAAATGTCCTAAGTATTTTCCTTTTATCTGTGTTATTGGTTGTATAATAATAATTATTTTAGGAGCGGAAAATCATCGATACAAAAAGTAGTATTCCATAAAATGTCACCAAACGAAACCTTATTCTTAGAAAGCACAAATAAGATTATTAAGGATGATATAAGTAACTCTAGTTTTGTTCAGTTTCAAATCTGGGACTTCCCAGGGCAAATTGACTTCTTTGATCCTACTTTTGACAGTGACATGATATTTGGTGGTTGTGGAGCATTGGTTTTTGTTATTGATGCTCAGGATGATTATATGGAAGCCCTGAATAAATTACACTTGACAGTTACAAAAGCGTATAAAGTTAATCAAGCGATCAGATTTGAAGTGTTTATACATAAAGTTGATGGTTTGTCTGATGACTGTAAAATGGAAACGCAAAGAGACATACACACCAGAGCAAACGATGACCTCGCAGATTCTGGTAAACAAGAGGAATAACTATAAATATTGAAATGTTGTGTAACATTAATGTAATATATAAATATGTATATTACAGGATGTGACCAAATACATCTAAGTTTCCATTTAACGTCTATATACGATCATAGCATATTCGAAGCATTTAGTAAAGTTGTTCAAAAATTAATACCACAGTTACCAACTCTAGAAAATTTACTTAACATACTCATATCGGTAAGAGAGGGACACAAATTATTCCATACTGTATCGTTTCACAATATAAATTACAATCTGTTTTCTAGAATTCTGCAATTGAAAAGGCATTTTTATTCGATGTGGTATCTAAAATTTATATTGCAACTGATAGCTCTCCTGTAGATATGCAAAGTTATGAACTTTGTTGTGATATGATCGATGTTGTTATCGATGTGTCTTGTATATATGGGTAGGATGCATAAAAATGCTTTTATATTTCTAAACGTCTATATTATATTGGCACATATTTGTGTTTTAAAATAATTAAATTTACACATTAATTTCAGTTTAAGAGAGGATTTAGACGCCGCGGCGTTCGACAGTCAGAGCTCCAGTTTGATCAAACTGAACAATGGAACGATTTTATATTTGCGAGAAGTTAATAAATTTTTGGCTCTAGTCTGCATTTTACGGGAAGATAATTTTGACAGACAAGGTAACATAACCATCTAAGAAAATTTATGAATACATCCAAACGCAATTACATTATGCTTATATTTTCCGCTAATAGGTGTAATTGATTACAACTTCCTCTGTTTCCGTAAAGCCATACAACAAGTTTTTGAGCTACGCAATAAGGCTTTGGCTTCAACAAATGTTAATAATCATTCGACCTCTCCTGTTAATACAAATGAAACTTCAAATGTTCCCACAGTATCGCAAGGCGGAACCATGGGGCAAAATGGTACTGTTGTAATTGCACAGAGTTAACTTCCGTATGTAATATTTATAAATTTCTATTTAAGCCTTGCAACAGAAGACAATGTTTCTTTCATACACATTTTTTTTTCTCATTTTTACTTTACATACTGATAATAGTACGTTACATAATCATATTATCAATAATTTAATTTTATAAATATTTAGTTAACACAAGCTGTAATTACTTTATTATTTGTTATAAATTTTTGTAATAAAACTATATTAGATATTATCAGATAACGTGAATGTATATATATGCCGCTATATATTACTATCTATTAAAATAAGGATTAACATAATTATTTTAATTCTTGTAAAAAAATTATTGTGCTTTATTTCTATACCATATCATAAACAAACACAAAATGATTCATCTTTAATAATTATTTATTTGATGTTCTTAAATTTAAGATTCGTTATCCCTAATATTATTGATATCATCAATAACGTCTTCCATTTCACGATACAAAATATATGGAGACAAATTAAATGTAATTATACTTTCTTCCAATTGATACCAACGTATGTACGAAAATGTTTGTTCGTATTCATTTAGAGTAATTTCATTAGGTAAAGAGTAATCTGAATTTAAACTGAAAGATTCAAATTTGATATGTTTGTATATGTAATATTAAACATTTTTATTTTATAGAAAAAATTAATTAACTGTGTCGAGTCACCTAAGAATGAGTTTTTGGATTAAAATATATTGCCTTACCTGCTTCTATACCAATCCGCTTTGTGTATCAGTTTCGGAATAGAAATTGGCAAGCCTGATGGAGGTAAGTTCTGATATGCTACCTCAATTAGAAAACTGCGACTGATATTATTAAATGAACAAATAGCTTCGTTATTCTCTATATACATATCTCGTGTATTCATATGATATCGTAACATTAACTCATCTGAAAGGAATTTATAGGAATGGATAGGACATTGGACATAAAGAAACACTTTCTTAAGTAAACGTTAAAAGAGTGGAATAAAATAAAATAAAATTTTTATTTTACAATAGGAATCTATGTACTTCCAATGTACATATTATTTAACAGAATATTCGAGAGTTTAAAAAGAAAGGGATTTAATAACATTATACAAATTATCACAGAACTTCAATACTTGTAAGTAGTGAAAAGCACGGATATACATTTAAAAAAACAACTTAATATAATTGGATTGAAAGAGTTCTTGTTAATTAATGAGTTACTTGCATTGTATAGTTTTTAACTTAATCAATAAAACAAAAAATATAAAAAGTCCTAGGGATAATACATAATTATTATCTCCAATAAATAATGGCATTGTTATTATGTTCAAAGAATGCGTTATGAAAACATATTAGCGTTAAACATACGACATACTGCAGTTAAATGCTGAGCTTAAGCCAGTCACTGTGAACAAAGCAATTAAAAAAAAAGTTAAGGCCAACATTAATTTGCAAGCTATTATATACATTTATGATACAGTTGGGATTATCAAAACATTTGAAATAGTAATAATTATTATTATTACTGGAGTTATTTAATAATTCTATAATTTATCGTGTAAGCAGGTCTGCAGTGATTCTATCAAATTCAGGAATATTTAATTGAAATATGTTGTACAACCCTGTCAATAGAACTTCTGACTTACAGTAATTTGCATCCTTATTTTGTACTGCATTATGAAGCGCTAAAGCAAGATACGTGTGGTATTTGGTGTAACTGCTCTCCAAGAGATCCAATTCTTCGCTGGCGAACATTAATTTCTTATAGTTCCATCTAGCTCGAACATGACTACACATTTCGATTAACTGAAAAATATTTTGTAAATGAATCATGTACATATGCAGAGTGCCATATAATCTACGTAACAATATTTCAGAATGTATACATACATTATTCACGGTCGCCATTAAATCATCATATTCTGGCGTTAATAAACAGTGTTCGTAAACTTTTTGCAAATACTCATTGTGAACTGTAATTGCAATTTACAAGGAAAAACTAAATATTCTATATGTATGTAAATGTATATTTGGATCTCAGAGCCAGAGTGTAATTAAGCAGAGCTTAAAAACTGTTATTTTGAAACAGTTACGAAGAACCTTTATTCTGCATAAGTCGTACAAAGAATCTAAATATCAAACTATATCAGTTTCAGTTACGGTTCCTAAACCAGCTCTCATATCAGTTCTGTAGCCGTTATTTTTTAGGTTCTATATAAGTTCCAAAACGGTTATAGAACTGATTCTCGTAACGATTGTACAGAATTCTACAGTAAATGAAATCACAATATATCATTTTATAATATGAAAAGTGTTCGTTAATATAAATTTTTAACTACTTAACAAAATTTTACCATACTTCGCAAAAAATATGCTTATGTGTATACAGTAATCTATAAACGTGATATGTTGTGATTTCATTTACTGTAAAATTCTATACAATCGTTAGGAGAATCGGTTCTAGAACCGTTTTGGAACTTATATAGAACCTAAAAATAACGGTTATGGAACTGATATGGGAGCTGATATAAGAACCATAACTGAAACTGATATTGTCTGAAATTTAGGTTCTTCATAACAATTATTCAGAATAAATGTACTTCGTAACTGTTTCAATCGGAACCTTTATATAACAGTTTGAAACAGTTGTTTTCGGAACCGTTTCAAGCCCTGGCATTAAGTCACACTTTTCAAACTTCAGAGGTGAGCAAATCAAAGGTGCAAATACCTTGGAACTTTGAAACCGTTCGGTAAGAATTATTTATTATTTATTCAAACTATTGAATGGATTTAAGAGAAATCTACATATAAAAATGGTGAACTTTTTTTTTTTAATATCATTCTTAGACTACTATGTGCCTATATTAAAAACTAAACGACTTAGAAGGAAATAATTTTTACCATCGGAAAGATTGAAATATTTGATATAGGAAATATGCAAAATGTCGTTTTAAAAAAAAAAAAGTGGACTTAATACACTCTGGCTCTGGAGTCTAGATATTGTTTTGTAAATTACAAATTCGTTTTACCTGACACGATCGTATCGAGACACTCAGCTTGCGTCAAAGATTTCTCGAAAACAAGACTTAAATTTTGCAGCACTTGGCCCGACAAGTACGTATGTATCGAGGTAATCGCGTGTAATAAACAAAACCGCAAACTTTCGATACGTCTTATGTGAAATTGTTCCAACTTATTTTTGTTGCACATTGATTTTGAACCTTCCAGATCTACAAAAAAAAAAGTAACACAGTTCGTTAATAATTTGAAAAATTATCCATGCGTGATGATCTACCAGTATTTCTTCTCACCACAGAATCTTAAATTATTCAATGTCCATAAAGCCCATTTCAATCTTAATTGAAATCTGAATATTTCATTATATTTTATTAAAGTTTCTTTATTCAATATAATATTTATAGGCCAGCCTATCGCATAGTGTAATGTTATATCATCCACGGCCACTAACACTTGATTTGTGTACGTACTACAAACCGAAACAGACCAACGTGAACTTAAATCCGACCACTTCTGAGACAGGGTTTCCTCGAGTATACATGATAAGTAGTACGAATTATTCCACATTTGATTACATTCGATCTGCAAAGAAAGTAACTTTATAACGAAGAAACAACAAATAAACTAAAAAATATTTTATAGTATACCTCTTGGAACAACTTCTGGTAAAATTTGCTCATAATGTGGCCTGCTTCCATCATGTACACGGATCTCATTAATGTCAAATGAGACTCCATTTTATATTCCTCTGACATTATATTCTTTACTAATTTGCTAGCACTATTGTATCTTGAAACTAGAATTTCTGCTAAAATGCTCTCTAATATTTTTCGAAATGGCAAAATATAATCTGATACCTTTTCAAGTCTGAAAGTACACGGTATAAGTTTAAAAAACGATATCTTTCATAATATTTCATGTTTATAGTCGAAGTACCTTTCAAATAAATTGTTAGAACATATTTCGGTCCTCTTGACTTTGGAGCAACAAACGTCAGTTACATCCGTTTTTAATAATTCAGGAGGAATGTAGTCTTCCAAAGCTTTTAATAGAAATGGATTATTGAATTCGGTCAATTGTTGTATAATAGCTCTTTCCACATCATCATCATATTTATCAGATGTTTCTGCATTTTCTTGGCATGAGCCTTCTTTCAGTTCGTGCATGCTATATTTAGCAATTTCGATTTTTAATTTACAGTAAAACTCGTCGTTTAAAGGCATCTTTATTTCTATAAGAAGAAAGTAATTAGATATTTCATGTTGTAGTGGGAAGCGAGTTATTAATAAAAAAATATTCTACGTTACCATTTACAGTGTTAATTTTCCATATGTCTGTAATACGATCTAGAGATACTAACAATTCGATACTTTGTCCCATACGTTGCACTTTCTTTATTAGAAACTGCATTATCGGGTCCTCCATACATATACTATCCAAAGATCTTAGAGAAAATGCTTTATACTGTTCGTTATTTTCTGACGTTGTACCATTTAAACACCTAAATAAAAACGATAATTGCGATCTACTATGATTTCAGTTTGCATTCAAGTATTCTTACCTGACAATTATAAATTCGCCTCTCCAATCTTCAAATCGTCCCTCGCTTAACCATGTATCGATTATATTTAGATAAACATTAAGACTAGACAAATATAAGCTAGCACAGATATTTGATCTTTTTCGATTGTGCGACTTCTGCATTTCAAAATACAGAGACGATAATAACTTAGACGCACACATCCAATTTGGATGAATTTTCCAGTCGGACACAGCTCTTTGATGAACTTCGTATAGAATTTTTATATTATACAAATGTGTTTTTAAGAGAGTCGACAAGGACAAAAATGTAAAAGTTTCATCTGGAAAACAATATAGTTAGCTACGCGATCATAAACTCATTGATTCGAGAAGAAACTTAGCTATACCTTGTTTCATAAGATTCTTTTCTATATCAATTATTTCATTTTTAAATTTCATCAAATGTTGTCTCAGCGCTGCATTATATGCTTCGTAAGTTAAAGGTGGTTTTTTATACAGACTATTCTCTTTTGAGTATATTTCGACGCCAAACTGTTCTATCTCATGTATCATAGAAAAGTACTCACAAAACGGTAAAAGAATACTATTAAAAGCAACCTAAAAGTTTCTAGTAGTAATATTTGTGAGTAATCAAAAATCATTTATATTGTATATACCAAATGTATTTTTATGAAATTGTTCACTTGTACACATACTTACAGCAGTTAAGCTGGGTACAGATATATCAGGACGAATACAAAAATCTTTATCTTCGTTTTGTTGAAATACCACCATATGCGTAGGAACATAAAACATCCACAATAATTCCCTGCATACTAGATATTCACCGAGGGTCCCACAGTTACTACAATCTGTCTCAGTTGCTTTCTGCCTGTTTGATATTAATACAATGAAGATGCATATGCAACATAAAATGAAGAAATTTTTCTTATAGAGAAAAAAGTTAAGTACCAAATTTCACAAAGATAAGCATCGCAAAACTGACTCTTCACCGGATATTTCCACCAATCCAATTCGTTCCACCATGTGTTCTGAACATTTGATAACAACCAATTCCTGGATTTAAGTTCTTCATTTAGTGCTGCAGACAATGTATTTATTTCTTTTTCAGTAGTAGTAGCTATACATATCGCTTTATCTGTGTCTGTAAGATTTGTACATGCTTGAAAGTTTGTACTTAAGTCAGGAACATCTTCAGCATTATCAGACCATTCCTATTAAAATTGATACAAAACTATATAGAAACTAATAATATAGAACTATATTATATATAATTCTAAAAGTATTTACACTTTCAGTGTCGCTCTTATAACCATTGAAAAAAGCCTCTTGACCTTCTTTTAAATACTGGGCCCAATCGATTTCTTCTGTAGTTTCAATTTCCTTTTCACCGGATGCATTGAAAGTACATTCTCCACGTGTTGGTTTCAAACTTTCCAAATCGCATTGATTAGTGTCCTTGGACAATTCCAAGAGTAAAGTTAGCAAATACCATTGTAAATCATATTGTGGATGTTGTTCAAAATCAAAACTTGATAAAAACATATTAACAAGTTCTTCAAACTTTTGGGCTACATCGTACTTTCCATGAATTGAAAATTTTGTGATCAGAGCCTTAATAGCTTCTTTTGTAGTGTTACTGTTAATAGATAGAAATCGATGATGTTTAATACTATTCATACAAAACCGTTCGCAAATTTGAAATCCTTCTTCATTTTGCTACAATCAAGAAAAGTTATTATAAATGTATAACATTTGCTAAAATAAATAACAAAATAATATATACCATTGTAATATAAACGCATTGATTATTAAATTAATTTAGTGTATATATTACCTCAAATGAAGTTATTGCTGTTATTAATTGCTTCATATCATTATGAATATCGTTTAATGTTTTTGTACCCATTTTATCCTTAAAACGTAAATGATGCAAATTGAAAACTTCGTTAAAATGCTAAAAACAATTTTAAATTAAGTCAGAGAAAAAAACTATTATTGACACTGGCACTTTTCAAAATTCAAACCTTTGATAAATTCTTTATTCGGCTTTTTAAATAAATTTTTAAAAATAAACATTTTTTACGTTTTTCTCTCATGCATAATTTCAAATTTACTGACTACAATATGGTAACAATTATACTGTTATAATAAAGACATTTTTCAAGCCTCTATGAAGAAAAATAAACTACGATTCAACAATCCTGCGCAGAATTTCTACGCGCATAAGAGCCCAGACGATGTACATATTATCACAGCGTCTGTGGTATCGACACTGAACTCTATACTACCTGGAATGCGCACTACGGGTATAACAAAACGGCCTGCCCTGTAGAAACAGAACGACTGAACGGGTATCTGTGTCTCATTCTTACTACATGTCACTGAAATATAGTCGCATCAACAGAAGTTTACGTTCACACGGTTTATTCGGCAAGAGTTCCTCTTTCTTCACGACCGTGAATATGTATATGGACATGTATATGTATATGTGTAGAGAATTAATTTCATTTGAAAGTTGAACATAAATATATGTATGTACTTTCTTTATTCTGGCACTTTTTTTACATGAAATTATTACATAAATGAAGTATTAAAGTCGAGTCGTATGTATGTTCAAGTTAGTATTTTTTTTTTTTTTTTTTTTTTTTTTTTTTTTTTTCGTGAGGAAATGCGTTACGCACACCCCCGCATCCCCCGACGGGGAGGGGGCGGGGGTAGTGTGGGACTCACCCCCCGGACTGGGTGTCCGGGAGGGATACCCACTAAAACCTCACGGTGGCCGGGCTCGGCGCTGTGCGGGGAGGCACCGGGATCTCTTGCGAACACGACCGGTACCTCCCCAGCGCCCGCTCCGCCAGTGGACGGCGGAGCGCCCTCTCTGTGGTGGGGGAAGCGGACCTCCCCCCCCACCGAACCGCGGGTGCCACAGTCCGCGCAGTCCCGCGGTCCCAACAGTCCCTTTTAGTCGCCTCTTACGACAGGCAGGGATTACCGTGGGCGTATTCTGTCCCCCGCCACACAGGGGAGATACCTGCTAGACCTAAGTTTACACAGGGTAGTACCACCGACTAGGTATAGGATAGACCTATCATCTTATGGGACTTCGTGTCTCATGTTCTGAAATACCGATAGTGTAAAAAGTCAGGGATTTTCTGCTGCCCTCTACGTTATGAGAATGGTGAATTTGTGAACTACGTTAAATCTAAGAAAGGACCATGGTCGTGAACGGATTCTCTTCCGTTCGCTCGCTATAAAGTAGACGTATTACAAAGGAGTCTTGGGTTCAAATCCCGACGGACCTATATTAGTTTTTCTTCGCGTACAAAAAAGTTATTGCGTTTAATATTGTTTTTATGGATATGTATATGTATTATTATGTACATTTGAGTAAATTATTT